CTATCCTGGGAGTGACATGTCAGTGGGTTTACTATCCTGGGAGTGACATGTCAGTGGGTTTACTATCCTGGAAGTGACATGTCAGTGGGTTTACTATCCTTTTGTGTGTGGGCAGCCTGTGCAGTGATACATCCTGACGTATGCTCTTAGGACTTGACGTGCCTCCTCCTTTACGTACTAAGTCACCTTCAATCAGGTGACTTTAACAGCTGTGATGGCTCATGTACCGTCCCCATCGTGCTCCTCTTCTTTGTTTGGATGACGTGTGCTTTCAGCCATTGGAGTGAAAATGTCTCCCACAGGTGGCTGAATTATATGAAGAACTGAAGACTCGGATCTCACAGTTCAACATGTACGTGGACTCTCGGCGACCTGCCATGGACCACGAGTACATCTACAAGCAGCGGTTCATCCTCCAGGTGTGGTGGGCTTCCTAGATATCTTTTCTGGTCCTTTCTTCTCATTGGGACCTGACACATTCATGCTTCAAATGAGGTCAGAGGTCTGGATCCTGGGTCTTCGAGTGTTTGGAGACTTGGAAGGCCTAATCTTCGTGACTTAGGTTCCAGGTAACTGCGTTAGTTAGGGCCCTGGACCCCTTCTGGTTTCAGAGCCATGTTTCTATCGAGTACCACTTGCTCTGGTCGCTTCAGGAGACATCCTTCGGTTGTAACTCTGAAGAAATAGAAATGCTTTTAGAAACGTTGGTTGTGTGTAACTTTGAAGGCCAGAACTCAGAGTAGTAGCTTAGAGGGTGGGGTCTTCAGGGATCTGTTTAGGAAGTGCCTTTAGAAAGGTGGGTAATGCCTTTGTTAGCAGGCTCTAGGGAGATGCCGGGAATGAGAGTTGTTCTGCATGTAAAGCTGGCTCCTCTCAGTTCTTTAGTTACACAGTAATTGAAATCCCATGAGCGGGGGCTGTAACCCACAGAAATGCATTCTCTCACAGTTTAGGAGGCTGGGGTCCGCATTCTGAGCCCCGGCTCCGGGGAAAGGTCCTGTCTCCTTGCAGCATCTGTAGGCCCAGCACTATATGGAGGTCACTGTAGGCGTCTTGACATCAGTTTTCCCCTGGATATAGGAGCTTCACAGGGCAGAAACCCCAGGTCCAAAGAACACACTCCCCTCCTGGCTCTTCTTCGTGGTGGTAGTGGATTCCTGCTCTCTGCTCACATCTCTCACCCTTTATCTTTTGTAAGATCAAAGGTGTTGCATGCCACATCCTTGGGGATCTGCCATACATTAGATTAAAGTCATGGTGGGGTTATTGCTGTTATTACATGCTGTTGAGTAGGTTCTGACTCACAGCGACCTTATGAATAACAGAACACAACACTGCCTGGTCCGGCACCATCCTCAAAATCGTTGTTAAACTTAAGCCCATTGCTGCTGCCACTGTGCCAATCCTTGTCATTGGGGTCTGCCTCTTTTTCGCTGACTCTCCACTTTACCAAACATGATGTCCTTCTCCAAGGACTGGCTGCTCCAAGTCTCGCCATCCTGGCTTCTCAGGAACATTCTGGCTGTATTTCTTCCAGTACAGATTTGTTTTCTTGCAGTTCATGGTACTTTTTGTATTCTCCAACACCATAACTCAAATGCATCAGTTCTTCTGTGGTCTTCCTTATTCATTGTCACATGCATATGAAGCTATTGAAAATACCATGGTTTGGGTCAGACACACCTTTGTCCTCAAACTGATGTCTTTGCTCTTGAATCCTTTAAAGAGGTCTCGTGCAACAGATTTGCCTAATGCAATACATCGTTTGTGTTCTTGACTGCTGTTTTCATGAGTATTGATAATGGATCCAAGTAAAATAAAGTCTTCAAAACTTGTGATCTTTTCTCCATTTATCATGATGTTATTTATTGGTCCAGTGGTGAGGATTTTTATTTTCTTTACATTGAGGTGCAACCCATATTGAAGGCTTTGGTCTTTGATCGTCATCAGTACGTATTTCAAGTCCTCTTTGCTTTCAGCAAGCAAGGTTGTATCATCTGCATATCAGAGTCTTCCTCTAATCCTGATGTCATGTTCTTCTTCATATAATTCAACTTTTCAGATTATTTATTGACCTTGTTTTGCCTGATGATAGGGAGCTTTTACCACTGTCTGTTTCCACAGATGTAGTCAATTTGATTTCAGTCTTGCGAGGTCCATGTTTATAAGGATCTTTCATGTTGTTTTAAAAAGGTATTTGCAATAAACAAGTCAGTGGTCATGCAGAATTATATCATGAGATCTGCGACATTGTTGTATTTCCCAAATACTGCGCTTTTCCTGTTTGTTTCCAACCTTTGCCAGTAATTATCAATACATCTTAATTGTATGTTTGATCAATTTTAGATCGAATAAGCTGGTAGAATTCTTCAATATCATCATCACTGACTTTAGTTGTTGGTAGATAAAGTTGAATAATAGTAGGCCTGTGGATATTCTGGTAGTGTAGTAGTTATGAATCAGGCTGCGAACCTCAAGGTCGGCAGTTCGAAACTTCCAGCTGTTCCGCAGGAAAAAGATGAGGCGTTCTGCTCCCGTAAAGATTTACAGCTTCGGAAACCCTGTGCAGGGTCACTCTGAGTCGGAACCGACTCCATGGTACTTAACAACAACAACAATGGCTATTATCCTATCAATGACAGCATTGTACTTCAAGACCAGTCTTGAGCTGTTCTTTTTGACCATGAATGCGATTCCATTCCCCCTCAATTTGTCATTCCCAGGATAATAAACCATGTGATTGATTGTCAGATTCAAAATGGCCAATACCAGTCCATTTCAGCTCACTAATGCTTAGGATATAGATGTTTGGGTGTTCCATTTCATTTTTGACAACTCCAAATTTTCCTAGATTCATACTTTGTGCATTCCATGTTTTGATTTCAATGATGTTTGCAGCTGTTTCTCTTCATTTTTAGTTGTGCCCTACCAGCAAATGAAGGTCCTGAAAATTTTACTCCACGGTCAACTCTGCTTTGAGGAGGCAGCTTCCCCAGTTGTGTTTTGAGTGCCTTCCAACGTGAGGGGCTCATCTTCCGGCACTCTATCTGACAGTTTCCTGGTGCACTTCATCATGTTTCAGTTTTCAGTATTCTGGTGCAGTCTTCTAAGGTTTTCAGTGCCTAAACATTCAGAAGTAGTCCATCTCGCCTTCCTAGCTTGTTTTAGTCTGGAGCTCAGCTGAAACTTGTCCACCATGCGTGTACCCTGCCAGTATTTAAAATACCAGTGCCATAGCTTCCAGCATCGCAGCAACGCACAACTCCCCACTGTACAACTGACTGACAGCCAAGTGGGATTCAGAGTAGGGGATCAGATCAGATCACATCATGGGGGAGGGGGCAATCCCATAACTACCGCACCACAGAGAACAATGGTCCAGTCCAGTGGACACTTATTTAAGGGGCACAATAAGTCCATGACAAGGCCCCAGGCTGGGGGACCATCTTCTGTGTTTTCACTGGAGAAGGAACTTTTCAAGGTGCTTAATAGTTATGCAATTTGGGGGACAGCCTGATGCCTAGGGTGCTAGTGTTTCAGCTGGGATTTTATGTAAAAAACGAGGAAGTCCATGTGTGCAGGCTGAGGTGGAGAGAATAGCCAACCCCTGGAGAGACTAGCCAACCCCTGGAGAGACTAGCCAACCCCTGGAGAGACTAGCCAACCCCTGGAGAGACTAGCCAACCCCTGGAGAGACTAGCCACCCACTAGACCAGTGTTGAAAAGCACTCAAAGTCCTTGGAAGAGACCATGCAGAGGGGATTTGTTAGGAATCTTGGTGGTGGTGGTGGTGTGCTGTGGAGTTGGTTCTGACTCTTAGCGACCCTGCATAGGGTTTCTGGGGCTATAAATCTACGGGAGCAGAAAGCCGCCTCTTTCTCCTATGGAACAGCTGGTAGTTCCAAACTGCTGACTTTGAGGTTCGCAGCCTGACTCACAATCACCACGCTACCAGAGCTCAAGCATAACTGAATGGCACCCATCTTTAGAGCTGAAGATGTCACTTCGTTTCAGGATGCGATAAGTATATTAGTAAGAGTAATGCATAAAATAATGCCCTTTAAAATTGTGGCAGAGTATATACAAGTATCCCCTACTTTCTCCAAGTTCACTTTGATTTTAAGAAAGACCTGTTACTGCTAAATGAAAGAAATTCAACGAGGAAATTTGCTTTTATGAAAAAGTAAAACCAGCATACAGCATTTGATTTGCATTGAACCATTAAGGAGACCACGCACCCTGAGCAGCAGAAGTGGAGCCACTCTCAGCACCTCCACATGGAGCCTCCCTCCCCAGATTTAGACTGTCTGTGAGCACTGGGTGACACAGCTAAATTTTAGATGTATTGTGCTATTTGATAGCATTTGGTAGGTGGTTTCTTTGTGTCTAAGAACACTCAAAAAATGTTCCCATATCAGTTACTAGTGACTCTGCTGGTATTGGAAATACAGGCAGCGTAGCTTCCAGCATGACAGCAGTATGAGAACCACCATTGTATCACACACTGACAGACGACGTTAGGGAAGTCCTATGTGAACAATGAACAAGTCATTGGCTTTGCAGAATTCTATCATGCCATCTCCAGCATCCTTTCTATCACCGAGGCCATATTTTCCAACTACTGATCTTCCTCTTTGCTCCCAACCTTTGCATTCCAATCACCAGTAATGATTACTACATCTTGATTACATGTTTGATCAATTTTAGATTGAGGAAGTTGGTAGAATTCTTCTATTTCATCCTCACTGGCTTTAATGGTTGGTGTGTAAATTTGAATAATAGTTGTATTAACTGGGCTTCCCTGTAGGCACGTGGATATTATCCTATAACAGACAGCGTTGTACCTCATGACTGATCTGGATATGTTCTTTTTGACGATGAATGCAACACCATTCCTCTTCAATTTGTCATTCCCGACATCATAAACAATGTGGTTGTCAGATTCAAAATGGCCAATACCAGTCCATTTCAGCTTACTAATGCCTAAGATCTCGATGTTTATGTGTTCCATTTCATTTTTGACAATTTCTAATGTTCCTAGGTTCATACTTCGTACATTCTATGTTCCGATTATTAACGGATGTTTACACCTGTTTCTCTTCATTTTGAGTTGCGCCCCATCAGCAAATGAAGGTCCCATGGGCTTTTCTCCCACAGGCTTTAATCCATTTGCATCATCACGGTCAACTCTACTTTGAGGAGGCAGCTCTTCCCCAGTCGCATTTTGAGTGCCTTCCAACCTGAGGGGCTCATTTTCTGGCACTATATCTGACAGTGTTTCTTTGCTGTTCATAAGGTTTTCAGTGACTGAATATTTGGAAGTAAGTAGTTCGTCACTCCTGCTTCCTAGTCTGTCTTCATCTTTAGAGATCATCTGAATTTGGAGATATCTGAAGACCATCTGATGAACAAATTTGAT